TATCTTAGCTTTCTTGACTACTTCCAAGATATGGTCAACGTAAAACAATCGTTTCTATAGTTTAGGATGACACTCCATCGGAGCAGTTGTGATGGCTTTCTGATACTGATTGCAGCCCCAAAGTTTGGCTGGTAAATTGTGTCCCTGAAAGAGAAATAAGTGATGTCGATTATAAACCCCAACAACTCAATGAGTGTTCTCTTCTTCACGGTTCTGTCTATTTTAAACCTATCCCTCACGACCTTTGCAGCCTCGCCCACTGGTGTATTGGTAAAGAGATACACTGCGTCATGCGTCCTCTCCAACAATCCTGTCGGTCAAATCCGACGCCAAATCTCTCGACCTTTGCACGTGGCGTTCTGTCTTCTGGGATAGTAGGGGAAGTTTTCGATGAACAGAGACGAAGGGGCCACAAGCTGAGTCATCTTAACATCCACAAAGAGGCGGAATGGGTCATCATGTTACCAGCCCCCTTGGCTGTCTGCAGTATTAGAGTGCAATTGGAAAAAATGTCTATGATTTTTGACAGCTGACCTTACTGATTCGGCACACAGTAAGTTGTTTTCAGCACTTTAGATTCGAGGCATCCGTCATTTAACTCTTTGCTTGACATTTTTGAAAGCTTGCAAAATAAATGTGTAATTCATGTTTGTGTTCAAAGCAAATTTAGCCTTGATTTTGTAATATGTTTTTGCTTGCTTAAAATATATATTGTCCTGATTTCTGATTATATAAATAGTCTTTATAGCTTATGGTTTAAACAAGTTTGATTTTTTTTATATAAATAATGTTGATTGTTATTAATATAACACAGCTGGAATAGTCTTGGTAACTGATCATTGGTTACGTTACAGATGATACAGAAAGGCTTGGTAGCTGATCATTGGTTACGTTACAGATGATACAGAAAGGCTTGGTAGCTGATCATTGGTTACGTTACAGATGATACAGAAAGGCTTGATAGCTGATCATTGGTTACGTTACAGATGATACAGAAAGGCTTGGTAGCTGATCATTGGTTACGTTACAGATGATACAGAAAGGCTTGGTAGCTGATCATTGGTTACGTTACAGATGATACAGAAAGGCTTGGTAGCTGATCATTGGTTACGTTACAGATGATACAGAAAGGCTTGGTAGCTGATCATTGGTTACGTTACAGATGATACAGAAAGGCTTGATAGCTGATCATTGGTTACGTTACAGATGATACAGAAAGGCTTGATAGCTGATCATTGGTTACGTTACAGATGATACAGAAAGGCTTGGTAGCTGATCATTGGTTACGTTACAGATGATACAGAAAGTCTTGGTAGCTGATCATTGGTTACGTTACAGATGATACAGAAAGTCTTGGTAGCTGATCATTGGTTACGTTACAGATGATACAGAAACTCTTGGTAGCTGATCATTGGTTACGTTACAGATGATACAGAAACTCTTGGTAGCTGATCATTGGTTACGTTACAGATGATACAGAAACTCTTGGTAGCTGATCATTGGTTACGTTACAGATGATACAGAAACTCTTGGTAGCTGATCATTGGTTACGTTACAGATGATACAGAAACTCTTGGTAGCTGATCATTGGTTACGTTACAGATGATACAGAAACTCTTGGTAGCTGATCATTGGTTACGTTACAGATGATACAGAAACTCTTGGTAGCTGATCATTGGTTACGTTACAGATGATACAGAAACTCTTGGTAGCTGATCATTGGTTACGTTACAGATGATACAGAAACTCTTGGTAGCTGATCATTGGTTACGTTACAGATGATACAGAAACTCTTGGTAGCTGATCATTGGTTACGTTACAGATGATACAGAAACTCTTGGTAGCTGATCATTGGTTACGTTACAGATGATACAGAAACTCTTGGTAGCTGATCATTGGTTACGTTACAGATGATACAGAAACTCTTGGTAGCTGATCATTGGTTACGTTACAGATGATACAGAAACTCTTGGTAGCTGATCATTGGTTACGTTACAGATGATACAGAAACTCTTGGTAGCTGATCATTGGTTACGTTACAGATGATACAGAAACTCTTGGTAGCTGATCATTGGTTACGTTACAGATGATACAGAAACTCTTGGTAGCTGATCATTGGTTACGTTACAGATGATACAGAAACTCTTGGTAGCTGATCATTGGTTACGTTACAGATGATACAGAAACTCTTGGTAGCTGATCATTGGTTACGTTACAGATGATACAGAAACTCTTGGTAGCTGATCATTGGTTACGTTACAGATGATACAGAATCTCTTGGTAGCTGATCATTGGTTACGTTACAGATGATACAGAAACTCTTGGTAGCTGATCATTGGTTACGTTACAGATGATACAGAAACTCTTGGTAGCTGATCATTGGTTACGTTACAGATGATACAGAAACTCTTGGTAGCTGATCATTGGTTACGTTACAGATGATACAGAAACTCTTGGTAGCTGATCATTGGTTACGTTACAGATGATACAGAAACTCTTGGTAGCTGATCATTGGTTACGTTACAGATGATACAGAAACTCTTGGTAGCTGATCATTGGTTACGTTACAGATGATACAGAAACTCTTGGTAGCTGATCATTGGTTACGTTACAGATGATACAGAAACTCTTGGTAGCTGATCATTGGTTACGTTACAGATGATACAGAAACTCTTGGTAGCTGATCATTGGTTACGTTACAGATGATACAGAAACTCTTGGTAGCTGATCATTGGTTACGTTACAGATGATACAGAAACTCTTGGTAGCTGATCATTGGTTACGTTACAGATGATACAGAAACTCTTGGTAGCTGATCATTGGTTACGTTACAGATGATACAGAAACTCTTGGTAGCTGATCATTGGTTACGTTACAGATGATACAGAAACTCTTGGTAGCTGATCATTGGTTACGTTACAGATGATACAGAAACTCTTGGTAGCTGATCATTGGTTACGTTACAGATGATACAGAAACTCTTGGTAGCTGATCATTGGTTACGTTACAGATGATACAGAAACTCTTGGTAGCTGATCATTGGTTACGTTACAGATGATACAGAAACTCTTGGTAGCTGATCATTGGTTACGTTACAGATGATACAGAATAGTCTTGGTAGCTGATCATTGGTTACGTTACAGATGATACAGAATAGTCTTGGTAGCTGATCATTGGTTACGTTACAGATGATACAGAAAGTCTTGGTAGCTGATCATTGGTTACGTTACAGATGATACAGAAACTCTTGGTAGCTGATCATTGGTTACGTTACAGATGATACAGAAACTCTTGGTAGCTGATCATTGGTTACGTTACAGATGATACAGAATAGTCTTGGTAGCTGATCATTGGTAACGTTACAGATGATACAGAATAGTCTTGGTAGCTGAGCATTGGTTACGTTACAGATCATTGGTAACGTTACAGATGATACAGAAAGGCTTGGTAGCTGATCATTGGTAACGTTACAGATGATACAGAAAGTATTGGTAGCTGATCATTGGTTACGTTACAGATGATACAGAAAGGCTTGGTAGCTGATCATTGGTAACGTTACAGATGATACAGAATAGTCTTGGGAGCTGAGCATTGGTTACGTTACAGATCATTGGTAACGTTACAGATGTTACAGAAAGGCTTGGTAGCTGATCATTGGTAACATTACAGATGATACAGAAAGTATTGGGAGCTGATCATTGGTTACGTTACAGATGATACAGAGACTCTTGGTAGCTGATCATTGGTTACGTTACAGGTGATACAGAAACTCTTGGTAGCTGATCATTGGTTACGTTACAAATGATACAGAAAGTCTTGGTAGCTGATCATTGGTTACGGTACAGATGATACAGAATAGTCTTGGTAGCTGATCATTGGTTACGTTACAGATCATTGGTTACGTTACAGATGATATAGAAAGGCTTGGTAGCTGATCATTGGTTACATTACAGATGATACAGAATAGTCTTGGTAGCTGATCATTGGTTACGTTACAGATGATACAGAAACTCTTGGTAGCTGATCATTGGTTACGTTACAAATGATACAGAAAGTCTTGGTAGCTGATCATTGGTAACGTTACAGATGACACAGAAAGGCTTGGTAGCTGATCATTGGTTACGTTACAGATGATACAGAAACTCTTGGTAGCTGATCATTGGTCACGTTACAAATGATACAGAAAGTATTGGTAGCTGATCATTGGTTACGTTACAGATGATACAGAAAGTCTTGGTAGCTAGCTGATCATTATTTACGTTACAGATGATACAGAAAGTCTTGATAGCTGATCATTGGTTACGTTACAGATGATACAGAAAGTCTTGGTAGCTGATCATTGTTTACGTTACAGACGATACAGAAAGTCTTGGTAGCTGATCATTGGTTACGTTACAGATGATACAGAAAGGCTTGGTAGCTAGCTGATCATTATTTACGTTACACATGATACAGAAAGTCTTGATAGCTGATCATTGGTTACGTTACAGATGATACAGAAAGTCTTGGTAGCTGGCTGATCATTATTTACGTTACAGATGATACAGAAAGTCTTGCTAGCTGATCATTGGTTACGTTACAGATGATACAGAAACTCTTGGTAGCTGCTCATTGGTTACGTTACAGATGATACAGAAAGGCTTGGTAGCTGATTATTGGTTACGTTACAGATGATACAGAAAAGATGGTTGATGATATCAATAATGTGCTGCTGGTTGTCTTGCGAATTGGTGAAAATCTTAGTTTTTAATCCATCTTTGGTTTATGATATCACCAGTTTAGAGTTTGCATTATCAAACAATGTCCTATGCACGTCCAAAACTGTGGTCTGCAGTGAATTCATTTACAAACTTGCGACACTTCATAAGCGCTGACGATTCCAGAAATTGACCACACGTAATCATTCGGTACGAATTGAACCTCTCCCCAACAAAAGCATACTGTACAAATGTCCCCTTACTGTAATAAGAAAACACACAGGAAAAGTATTTATCAAATGTTCTTTTATTATAAACAACAGTGATGGAATGTATTGTATGTTTGTATGAATGTATGATTTAATACAATGTATAATAATCGCTAATACAAAAGTCATTTTCCTCTGTGGACGGACAGATAAGGGAAGATGGACATATAAAAAGAAATTAAATATGTTCTCAAATAAATTAATATACCACTACATCTAAGTCACATATAGAAAATATAATCGGGACTACCGCATGTCTGACAGACACGCCCTCTTGGTATCTGACCAGACAATGCTAGTGTTAGTCAAATACTGTCAAATCAAAGCACAGTTCATGGTAGATGTTTATTAAAACCGTGATGATCTCTGTTTTGATTCGAGAGGATTTGGAGAGCATCGAACGGGGAGGTAACCCAAAATAATAAGTTATATTTGGAGGGAATAAATTAAGGGCTGCACGACCTTTTCTGGACGGCAGAGGATAAATATTTTAAAATAAATTAAACAGTTAAATATTGGAGACAGATTGTGTTAATATTGAATGGTATTGAAATATTTGATAAAAAAATCAAAATATACATTTTTGTGAATGAAAAATTTCCTAATGAACCTATTCAAACCATTGAAATGAAAGAGCTTACATGTGTCTTCATGGGTGAATGACTTAAATAGAATTTTAAGTTTCGAAATTTTGTATATTCTTATCTCAACAATTGCGTGTATCAAATATATCACCAAAAAGTAGCATTGCTACCTGAATGTTAAACATTTAAAACTGAACCAAAACATCAAACCAAAGTAGACAGCTATCCGATACATTACTACTACTTATACAGGTAAGTAACTAGGAGGGGAGAGGCTATAAATAGATCACACGTTTGATAAGAATATTTTGAATATATAAATTATAGAACAACTAGTTACTCTATGGAATAAATCACACAACCCACTGCAATGAAATAATGACCACAAACTATAAATTTAATAGGTCTGGTAAAATAGTGACCACAAACTATAAATTTAATAGGTCTGGTAAAATAGTGACCACAAACTATAAATTTAATAGGCCTGCTAAAATAGTGACCATAAACTATAAATTTAATAGGCCTGGTAAAATAGTGACCACAAACTATAAATTTAAATAATAGGCCTGGTAAAATAGAATATTGTCCAAAATCATTTCACGTTTTCCATCATTAGTTAAAGTGATCTGATAGCGTCATACTAGCATTATTTAAGCAGTTTTTTTCCAATACTAATTTTTAAACTGTTGAAAATGTAAAACGTTTTAGCAGGAGAATGTTATTTTGCTCCAGTTCTTAAATTAGTATATCACAGAATTAATTTCTAAAATTACATAGTACATATGGATGTACAACATAAAACATAACAAATAAACATTCTAAGGCAAACCGACACGAACGTCTCTATCCAAGGTAGACAAACGTTATATTGACCTTGGCGCAAGGTAATATTTGTATAATGAAGAATCAATGCTGAACATTTTGATCAAACTTGAACACAAAGTCAACATTTGTTCGTAAATTGAACAATATTATCAACATGTGGAATATTTGTTCATTAATTAAACAATAAATTCAAAAAATGCAAACACTTATTAAATATATTTAAAAATAACACAATATTTTTTCCAAACTTATAGCTAAAAATGTCACAAATTCGACATCATTGAACACATTGAACAACACATCGTGAACACGTCTTGCTCACTGAACACAATACCACTGAACACATGGATTTACTTGAACATAAAGATTGGACGGCCGTCTGTATCAGTATGTGAACACAATTAGAAAAAGCTTGGAACGTTGCAAGAATTATCTTAGAATATTCCTCACATGATATTAAGTTAGGTGTGATGCAACTATATATTAGTGAGGTGTATGATTCCGTACAGAGAATCGCATTAATCCGAACAACAAACGTGTGTGTGGACTAACGAATTTCAGTTGTAATTATATTGGCGTGAATGCTGGTGGTATATTCTCGATTGTACTTTTTTGTTTTCGCTATATATATTATGCAATTCTTCGTCAATTCTTGCAATGTTCCATAAAAGACTTTTTCTTTTTGAAAATAAATAGAAATTGAAAAATTATCTAAATAATTTAAGGTGTAATTATTTTCTCGCTTTGACCGGATTAAATCTATTGAAAGTAAGCTTCCGAGGTATCAACATAAAACTCGACGGCAGTCACGTGGTGCCTCAATCAGGCCCGCAGTAACTGCCGATGTTCGCAGAACTCTTTCATATGTTGTAGCACTTGAAGTGATTCTTTAAGAATATCGTTCGTGTCACTGAGTTCCTTCCGGAACTGCGCAAACCCCTCTGTGCTCATGTCCTGGCGACGTATATTTTTGTAAGCATTCTCGGCCATGTTTAAGAATTGTCTCTCCATCACTGCGCAAGAACAGTTGTCCGGACGTATTTCCGGTTCCGGCTTGCTTAATTTACTATTCAATATGTTCACATCTGCTTCAAGTTGTTTTAGGTAGTTCAAGTTCATTTGTTTCTCTAATTCTGAAAATATAAATAAAAACATATTAAGACCCCGTCGTAAGTAAATCATTATATGTGTCAGGAAAACTGAAATGAAACACGTGCATACTTTTGAATAACATACTCATACACATTGCTGTATTTACAATGAATTCGTAGAGATAAACAAATATATCTACCTTTCCGTCTTCTTTTAGCGTGGATCACAGCTTCCTCCTCGTAATCACAGTCAAATCTGTCAGACGCTTTCCTCTTACGTTGGTTAAGATGTGACAGGAATTTCTTGATCAGGCGAGAATCATCATCATCATAACGCTCCTCCATCTCTATGACGTCACTATCAGAGTTAGCCCTGAATCGATTTCTTCGTGTTGGGTACATGACGTCACTGTAACCTGGAAGTCAAAATGACAGATATTACTCCTGTATTCTTCATATGATAATGTAAGTTAACCCATTAAAGGAAAATAAAAAATAGATAATACTGCAATGTAAATGATTTTTTTTCAATTTTCTTTTAAATTTTCCATCTTCCATCAATTTTTTGACAATAGCACTTTTATTACATAATAATAACCACACTGCTATCTTATACTCAAACTATCCAGTTCTTTACTAGGAAGTCGACAGTTACATACCTTCTTGTTCAGCACACAAAAACGGTCGACTGGATACGTCAAAGGAGAGTTGTTTCTTTGCTCCTCGCTTGGAAAGCCCCTCCATATACATGGCCCGGTGATACTCTGGGGACAGTCCCGACCCCCGGGGATCTACAGTCTCTCGTACGTACGGAGACGGGGACCGGTTTCCCCTGTAAGGTATATCCATCATGGCCTGCATCATTGGGGACCTTCGGGGACTCGGACGTTCCTGGTGAATCTTTATCGGAGTTCGATCCTGCATACAAGCCTGAAGGCCGTATTCCGGATTCAGCATCGGTACCGGGGAGGATTTCATTGGAGATCCTTTCATGTCGAGATCGATGTTTTGGGAAAACGAAGGATGGCAATGTAAAGATTTTACCGGTGTCCTTTCATGCATTACCTGTTAAAAATAGACAAATATAACTATATTGTTTACCGATGGAGGGTGGCCGTGGTGTGTTTGTCAGTAAAGTCAGCTATGTACAAAGTATGTCCGGGGGAGGGGGTAATGGAAACAAACGACGTCGATATACTGACAAAGGGTAGACAGCACAACCGGCTCGGCTAGGTAGACTAATCAATTCACCGTGTGTACACGTGTTTTGAGCGTGCGATCAATGACCAATATAATATTGGCCTATGATGCATTAAAATAAACAATGATCAGGGGGAGAAAGCATTGTTTAAACATCCAGCTTTGGGCGTTATTGGGTTTATTATGTCCAGGCATTGAATACCATATCGTTTGAAGTGATGGGTGGTGGTGCTCCCCATCACTAGAGGCCAATTACAGAGAGTCAGTTGGCGAGCGGTACAGAACACTGACTAGTGACTACAAGTTTTAACGTTTATCTTTTTAGTATGTATACAGTAAAGAAAGGATATCAATGTAACATGTACTAGATAAATGATCACTTACCCTGTTCTGTTCGGCGATCGGGGTGAACCCGTTGCCATGGTAATGTACAGCACTGTTTGGTGACACAGGGGGTGACCTTGGTTTCGTTCTCTCGGCTAACATCCAATCAGAATTCTCTCCATAGATAGTAAAATTGTTTCTGTCTGGCCCGGGGGACGGAAGGCGGGAATCACGTGTATCGTTATGGGAACACTGGGGCGGTTTCTCATCGGAACCATCAACGTCAATACTACGTTTGGGAAACCTGAAGAACACGTCATCGGAAAGGGTGGACCGTGGGGAGGGTGGAATGGAATCTGTGTCTCTGAGGCAAGTCTCAACTTCACTGTCCTCACGTGAGCGTCTGCATTCCTGATTGTTGGATCGAAACTGTTTCAATTTCTGAAGTAGATCCTTGGGAATAGATTCCAGGGAGGAGCTGCGTTCTGTTAACTCCATGGTCGTAGAAGGTCTCTAGTTTGGCATTCTGCAACAACAACAAAAGGCGTGAAATCAGAAGTGTGGTCAGCTAGAGAAACAAACATGTGGTCAGCTTGGGAAACAAACATTACATCTCCGCGCGACTAAAAACTCCCACCGGCAAATATCTGGTATAAAGTCTTTGTACAATTAACAACAGCAGGTTAGGGGTTCTTAAAATCAAGTTCCTTACCGCTGGATATAAACATGTATTCTGGTTTAGTAATTATTAGACAAAACGCATATTGCCTACATACCTATATGAATATGTGGTGTTTTCCCTGTGATAACCTGTCGGTGTAATGTTAAACTACCCGGTCTCTTGTCTTATAAAGCACTCCCAATATGGCCGACGGCTAAACGCCACGCTAAGACAAATCTTTCAATATAACGGTACTTTCATTCCATAGGGATATATCACATTCATTGTTCGCTTTACAAGCGGCAACGCCTTTGTACCGCACTTTATCTTAAGCGGTCCGGTGTTGATTTCAGTTAAAGCCAATATGCATTAGATTTTAATACAGATATGACTTATGAATTGCAAAGATTATGGCTAGAACTCAAGCGACACCATCCGAACTGCATTTTGTTGATCTTACGCGGCCCGACTAATCCAATATGAACATCAATAGAAACAGGGCAGTGCTTTTGGATATGAAAATCTGGCTTTACGAACTGGAGACTCTTCCGTCAGAACAAGCGTGGGTATTATCTGTGCCGTCAGAACAAGCGTGGGTATTATCTGTGCCGTCAGAACAAGCGTGGGTATTATCTGTGCCGTCAAAACAAGCGTGGGTATTATCTGTGAGAAAGGTGGTTCAGTTCTAATCTCATATGCGGAATAACGATCACATACATTTAAGTTTTATACAATTGTCATAAGCAACCAAACGAGTATATGTGTTTGCATATTTATGATATTTTTGCGACATTTTCGAGGATTAAGACACCAAGTTACGACCCAGTCCACGTCATAATAAGTCGTGTGGGTAACCGGATACGAAGTTTACAATCTAACGTTAGGATGCGCTACATCGCGGATCTTATCGCAATATCTGTTGTTTTAACTATTTCTCGCGACATTCATTATATATAATTCTGTATGTGTGGTTCGTTTTCATTAATTAAATATTTCCTACGCCTTTGGTTTTATTTATATTTACTACTGCGAACATAAAACCATATTTCTATAGTTATATGTATATCCACTAAACAGGAATACTAGTAGGTTGTCAGAATTCTAAATAGGGTACAAAAATACGACACACACATTTAAAAAAAACCAGTATCAACTATTTTTGTGTCCTTGATTTGCACTTGGAACTCTTAGTCTATTTAGTCTTCATTTTGACACTTCTCGGATAATTTACATAATTTGACATATTAGAATTTAGAAATTGGATGTTTGTACTTTAAATGGTAGGTAGGAACTTTAACGAGTTTTTGGCTTCAATAGTAAGGTGTGCTATTTAAATATTTAATTATCTGATAATAGGGCCGGGCCGAGGGAGGATTCTACTTGTGAAGGTCCCCTATATGCTGACAATGAGGCCAAGCTTTAAGTGTAAGAAGTCATATTGCCGGACGAGTCTACACACAGGGGTTATCATGTGTAGTCGGCGAAGTGGAGGGGACAGATAAATATCGACATTTAAATGTCATTGAGAAAAGGAATGTATTTAGTGCCTTAATTGGTGACTAATCATGCACGCCTTGATGTAGTAATACTGGCGGAGTAATACTAGAGGGTGATGACCCTGAGATAAGACGAGGACAATGGTTGGTTCATTTGATACAGCACTCAGTCATTATTCCAATCAAAATACGTGTCATTCCTGCTCTTGATTACAAAGACGGGTATCAATTAAATGTATGCTCATTCCAAGGATGAGGAAAATATCAAAACAAATCTAATTGTCCGTTTTGTCGGATACACACATTGTTTTTCCCGTCATGCAACAATTGTCAGCCATTGTTTTAGACAAGTTGGCGGGTTGAGGTGTAGATGGCGCTATAGACGCTTGGAAGCTACCATTGTGTGCCGATAGTCAGCTGATGAGAACACTGCGCCTGTGCGAGTTCCCAGGGGGTATCTGGTTCTGAGAGATGCATATGGAGACAATTACCTTTAAAGGGTCACGTGCAAAGTGTTTGGGAAATGTAACGAGTCTTAGACAAGAAACAGTGGTTGGCTAACGGACCCGTCATTTATCATTGTGACAATTCTCATAAACAATACAGTGTAGCGAATACATATATACAAATGGGTGGCAATAATACATGGTGGAACAGGATGGACATTAGTATCGTAAATCAATTATGTCATTAATATTGGTAATACATTTAGACAATGATGCCAATTTATGTTGTGTTACATAATTGAATAACGTATGATATTTAAATGTGTTTGGTCTTTCATAATAATATCTGGACATATGTTTTCGCCTACTATTGAGAATTGGTTGATGTGTACATGCAAACAGATAATTAAAAATTGTCGCCAATTTATCTTAAATAACATAAACTTTGGTACGCGTTACCCACAGGTGTCGTCTGTATCGGACGGGTCCTCTAGCGTAGGGATGTGTATTATAGCGAGAGAGGCGGTACCCAGTAGCACTGAGAGGAGCACGTCATTCCGACATACTGCATACATACTGACTAATGTATGCCTACTGACCACTGTATACCTACTGTCTAATGTATACCTACCGACCACTGTATACCTACTGACTAATGTATACCTACTGACCACAGTATACCTACTGACCACTGTATACATACTGACCACTGTATACCTACTGTCTAATGTATGCCTACCGACCACTGTATACCTACTGTCTAATGTATCCCTACTGACTAATGTATACCTACTGACCACAGTATACCTACTGACCACTGTATACCTACTGTCTAATTTATGCCTACTGACTAATGTATACCTACCGGCCACTGTATACCTACTGACTAATGTATGCCTACTGACTAATGTATACCTACCGGCCACTGTATACCTACTGACTAATGTATGCCTACTGACTAATGTATACCTACTGACTAATGTATACGTACTGACCACTGTATACCTACTGACTAATGTATGCCTACTGACTAATGTATACCTACCGGCCACTGTATACCTACTGACTAATGTATGCCTACTGACTAATGTATACCTACTGACCACTATATACCTACTGACCAATGTATACCTACTGACCACTGTATACCGACTGACTAATGTATACTTACTGACCACTGTATACCTACCGACCACTGTATACCTACTGACTAATGTATAGCTACCGACCACTGTATACCTACTGTCTAATGTATTCCTACTGACTAATGTATACATACTGACCACTGTATACCTACTGACCACTGTATACCTGCTGACCCCTGTATACCTACTGTCTAATGTATTCCTACCGACCACTGTATACCTACTGACTAATGTATAGCTACCGACCACTGTATACCTACTGTCTAATGTATCCCTACTGACTAATGTATACCTACTGACTAATGTATACCTACTGACCACCGTATACCTACTGACAATGTATACCTACTGACCACTGTATGCCTACTGACCACTGTATACCTACTAACTAATGTATACCTACTGACCAATGTATACCTACTGACTAATGTATACCTACTGACTAATGTATACCTACTGACTAATGTATACCTACTGACCACTGTATACATACTGACTAATGTATACCTACTGACCAATGTATACCTACTGACTAATGTATACGTACTGACCACTGTATACCTACTGACTAATGTATACCTACTGACTAATGTATACCTACTGACCACCCCCCAATCATATCACACCCTCAGTGCTTATGTATTGTTGGATTTTTATAAAAAGCTGTATGGGATTCGGTACTACGCAATAAACATCAGAAGTTTCCCAGGGTGATAAAATACATATTAAACTCTTTATGTTCCCGGTATTCACTCGTCTGTATATCGCGGTTATGATGTCCCGCCGTTTGAACTTATGTTATAGAGTTACCCTCCATTGACATATGGCCATGTCTATAGTGGCCTTTATACCGCAGATCGGTCATTGGGATCACATCCATTTGAATGTAAGATATAAACCTGGAAAATGCAGATGTATCTAAACGCACTTTTATATGATTCCCCATTGATCCCGGAATTAGTACCGTTCGGGGTAATTTGCCGTGCATGTTTCCTGCTAAGGACGGACTTCCCACTGACCCGACGTTTTGTCCTATAGTTCCCGACAAAGACGCTTGAAGGCCCATCAAATACAACGGGTGCTATATTTATAACATTTATGTTACTAAATTATTCACGGTCAATCAATCAATAAAACAATCAATACTTTGTTAGCAAACCATGCATCATATCACACCAAGTACACGGCCATACTTATACTTTACATAGCTTATTCAAGTTATTATTAAGTATTCAAGCTGATGTCATATATACGTCTCTGCCAATACCCAGCTAACCAGTCTGACTAAGTGTCGAAATGAAAAGTTGTGAACTGAAATAAGTGTTTGTTCTGTGACAATAGTAAACTGCTAGTTACGTGAGAATAGAAGTTTACCTATTTTAGACTTATAATAACTAAAACTTAAGCAAGTCTAAAGTCACTGCGCCCCGTGTGCCCGGGTAGAAAGCCACGGTATCACAATAGCAGTAAGCTGGTCATTGTAAAAAGCTTTATAACACACGGATGTGTATCGCGTCCCTGACATAAACGGTGTGTACAGTGTTCGGTATCCCCTACCGCGTACGTAACGTGTTGGGCTCGCTAGATCTAATCGCTATCTACTCTTAAAATACACCGCGTCATCTGTAAATCAATTTAATTCAATTGATGTTCCTACCTTTCACGTGTTTTTGATTTATGTTTTGATAATTTCCATTCATATATATCTGTATAAGAGAAATATACAAAACATAAACACTTTAATCAGGCACAGGAGTGATATGCATATCAGATTCATCAAAATTATTCATATTTCTCAGAAAGTGAAAGCGATAATTGGTCCATTATCCATACCATTTTAGTATCCCCTTTTTACAACTATCGACGCGCAAATTTCCGAAATTATTAACGACAAGAAAATATTTCATGGAAAAGAGTGGGCGACTTTCACCAAAACTTCGTTTCGGTCTGCGAAACGCGCAGGCAAGTATACTTCAACTAATACTTGGCAAAGGGGAGATAAGTTATATATTTATCTGTATTGTTGTCAGATTAAACCACGAAAGCTGACAAAATGTATTTCCCACTCTTATAAGCGGTTATCCTACCCCGGCATTCCTTAGTGTTTCCTGTAATCAAATGAAGGCCTAATCCCTACGTACAGACCTCATACCAAGGACAATATTGAAAGGTTCTCAGATTTGTTCATTAATTACATCAGACATATGCACACCTGTGCAGGTGAAAAGCTACCTACAATTTCCATAACAACGCTCACCTGCTAAGACCTACCTGGCCTGCGTGTCACTATGCTTACCTCACCTGAAAGGTAACACGTTATCTTTTACTCTGCCGCTAACATATTACTCACATTTATTATGCTAATGTTGTCTGAAATTGCGTGCAGTGTTTCAGTACTTGGGTTTAGCGTCACGAATTTACATACCAGACACATGCAATTTGAGGTCTATTTCAGGGTGAACGAATTACGACTTCGCTTTAGAGAACTCATATATTATAAAAAAAAATCCAAACATTTACTATTTTGTAAAAGTTCTTTTTATAATATCTGCATAAATGTCTATTGAAATCAAGATAAAATCAGAAGATGACTGGTGGTAAGAGATCGTGCTATGACGAGATATGTTACTTATACGTCAGCGGTACAGAGTGACAATGACATGGCTCGCTAAGTACGATCATTAATAGCGCTAACTTATAGAACGGCCGCGGCGATAATTACTCGAAAAGGCGCCCTCCCCTGTACCCACGGGAGGCTGACACATCACACAAAGGCTACAGGGCACATTGTGACACTGATATCAGCTACATCAGCCTCCTTGGTGAATATAAATATTCATGATACGTAGATGATATTGATATTGCCCATGCTCTTTATTATATGTAGGTTTGTTAGCATTTTATCGATTGGTTTTTAGATGTTTTACCCCAATTCGATGGAAAGTAAAATATATTAAAAAAAATGAAAATATTACGTTACGTAACATCTACGACAATATAGAATTAAAAAAATATACCCTTACCTGTTTAATTGACGTGCCTGGTCTCGTTCATCACTAATTACAGGTGTATAATCCAGGTAAGAATATATACAGGTAACACAAGGTCCGTTAGTCTGGGGCTACCACGCCGGTCTGAACCAAACGCACAGTGCCAGGTACGTTTACCTATATCGGGTGAGTACTCAACCGTGACGAGGTAACGGCACTCACCTGGGTACCGTTACAACGCCAGGTAAACACAGGTAACACCGCCCCGTTTTACGCCAGGTAAATACAGGTAACACCGCCCTATTATACGGCTTGTAAATATTGAATTCCGATCCTCACAGTGGTAAACCCACTTACGGGTTTTCCCAGATAGGTGGGGAGTTGGGTCATTCGACCCCTGTCAATCATTAGGCCACACCCACCCGCTACCTCACTATTTGGGAAATATTTCACGCTGGAATTTAGTTTGTAAATAGTAAGATTTGAGAGTGCGTACGCTGTGACGGCGGTACCGAAACAGGTAATACCAGTCCTTACACAGGTAATACCAGTCCTTACACGTGTGTAGGCATCGGTTTTACCCCGGAATTAGATTTGCTCTCTAAGTTCGTGTATTACGGGCATTTTTGGCAATCAATTCCTTTTAAAGTTCACAAAATTAAAACAACTAACAATCGAAATCCAATAATTATAAAGATACATACATAAAACATGAGACAAACATGTCGAACTTTCAAAATGTCAAATAAGAAAAACCGGGTGACAACAAACACATGTATGTTGGACAAACAACTAATTTGTGTAGTAGATTAAATTCAGTAGCATTCCACTGATAATAATAGGATATGCTTGTCAAATCACCATATATCTTTGCTGAGAGTTAGTATTTGTTTATGAGAGCAATCTACAAATCGCTGTCTTTGATACCGAGTGATTATATAGTGTATATGCTTGTGAGACTAAAGGGTGCATTTCGTCAGTTTGTTTACTGATATGTCCAACACTGACTTTAACCACGGATTTAGACTATCTAATTAGTTGCCATCGAAGTCCGTGCATTAGCAGTATTTGCTATTTCCTTAGAACCAACAGCATAAAGAAACGATTAGGGCTCAACAAACACAAACCTATAACGGCATCCAATGTGAGAGAAGGTCTGCTGGAAACACCTAGTGCATGTACCACTAACGAGTGTGGCGCGTGACGTGACGCCCAAACTAGATTACTTATCTATTTCTTTGTCACTTGTTAATATGTGTTCTGGTACGAAATTGATGAGATCAAGAGGATTTTTGTCAAAACATACTAACCATTCTCGCTTCAAGAAGTCAGGATGATCTACTTCCGGTTTAATTTAACTTCCCCACATATTGCTCAAATAGGCACGAAAAATAGCCTGAACTAGCCAGGTTGTATTGTACAGAATAATAAGTGTCATAAAAAACGAAATTCAATTCAGCGTAAGGACCAAAATATGTCTAAACCGATAATCATTCGGGAAAGAAGTTTAATTCTCCTGTGTTTAAGAATGTTAACTAAATACCCCTAGATGAAGGTATCGTATATATAATGGACGGTAGATTGGTCAAACACGAGCCCATCAATGGCAAAACGCACCCAGTCTGATAAAAAGGGCTTATACGTTTATTTTTACAAATAAACGATACATATATATATTAATGCTATTCGCCGAGGAATGTGTTCTGTTATGTTACTAAAGCGATCATTTTAATCGTTGACAAAAGACGAGAGTATCCTACTCTGATGAGCGTTTCTGTGTTAGGGGGAGAAGGCTAGTGTACTATAGTGGGGTACAGATATCAATGGACTTAACTTTCTACCCGATACCTTGGGTAAATAGACCTAATTACACCGGTACTAATCACCCGTAGGCTGCCTGTACATACCTGTTCTAGCGTGTCACCGTTGGAATACAAAACAGCCCGTTTCTGTTTTCATGTTTGTAGCTATGTGAAGGTGAGAAAGTGGTAGTTGTTTGCGTTGGTATATATATATAGCCGAGGGGACTGTTGGTTTTATACAAAAGCTATATTTTCAATTATAGTATATCAGTTCTATCTTCTTGTAATATGATGTATATGTACATGTAACTGTTCTGTTTCACTGTGTCTTGAAAAAGGAGCGGATCGCTCCGAAAATTTGACAACCTAAACTTGTCCACACTGTTGGTATCCGGTATATATGGGCACCAGCACGTATACATAGTATCCATAGTTACGTAATTATCAAGTATCATAAGTCTATATGTCTGTATACATAGCCTTAACAATATCATCGTTCACGCCAACAACTAAATCTATTTTATGAGTTGTAAACGTATCGAACCCCTCCCCTCATCTGCTCCATCCCCTATCACTACACTGACAATGGTATTTTACAAAACCGTTATTTAGAAAATATAAATGTATTTTTGCGAAATATAGCTTGCAAGCACACAGTCTTAATATAGTGACAGGTACAATACATTGCCTCGAAACCAGATATTATGTACTTTGAGTGATCTTGGGGATGTCGAGGATGAGTTTCATTTCATTCTTATTCGTATTCGTCCTTCTGTCCTTCATAGAAATCTGGCTCGCTAAAGGCTTATTTGTATAATTTCATAAACAACTAAATTATGCTTCATAAGAGTCCGATAAGTTCCCTTCGGAAAAGCTTTATTTTTTTCCCAATTCATAACTATTTCATGAATTTATAATTATTATGTATGGCATGGAATCTATTGCATATTGCATATGTTCTCCGCCATTGTGCAAGATATTTGTGAAGTATTGTTTAATATGTATATTTCTATACGCCTATATGCAATGTGTATTTGGTAACAAAATTGAATTGAATTGACTGCTGACAAAATCATACCCCCCTACACGCACACACACACACACATACACAAATACACAACATAAGGCCAACTAACTTGTGTGCTTGATTGTTGACGTTAACTGAATGAGCCGTATTATAATCGTACCGGGAATCCGGATTACACGGCTAAGTCTTAGGAAAGTAACGAACCTGTGTCAATATGTTGATGAGGGATCAGATGACGCCGGACTGACCGATTTGAGGTCAGATATGCGCACTGTCACTATTGGGTATTGACTAATTCCAATACGATTTGTTACATTTTTTTGCGCGCCGGATTGTATTTTAGACAATGATATATATAGAAGGTTAGTTTAAACATATTTTTTCCCAAGGTTTCAATTCAACGTAACAAGGCTATTTATGTACCTCCAGTCAAAATTGCGAAATTTAGAATCTACGATATGAAGAAATCGCACAGAAAGTAGGCGAATGTCTTGTTCAAGACGCGGCATTTTCATACCTATTAAAATTCATAGTGACCACACTACAAGTATCCGGGTTTTAAATAATCACCCAATGACAAAAGTCATGAAAGACTTTGTATGATTTCAGATAAATCGTTAAAACAATGGTAAATTTTGAAGAAGGGATCAGTTTCGTTCCTATGGTCATTGTTCGAGACGTCTAATGGAGAGTCTTCTGTCCGTCATTCTGGATGTTTGGGGGACCATTGAGCCGTGTTAGTTACATACATGTACATTCCCAGCTCGCTACAGATCGAATGGCTGCGTGACACACGCTCTCTACGCTTTAATCGCATTACCGACACCAGTACCCGGTTAATTATTTTTAATAACAAAGGTCGGTCAATATTCCAATTCCCATTCAGATGAGTCACAATCTGTTAGTTTTGGTAATTTGATGTTGAAGGTTTTATAGATATTTGACAGGTCAACTTTTTGAGGGTGGATCACACAAACCACACGTTTTGAATTGAAGAGTTGTGTTGATGATGTCACGATGATGTCACGAAAATGTAAACTCTTCGGCATTGGTGAATTATTTAAATAATGTAAGACTTAATAAAAATAATAATGGAAACACCTTTGGCACCGGTTCCGTGTACATTGTATAGGTCGCCAGGTAAGATACAGTGAATTCAGATGCTACCGGTTACACAGTACAGCGCGAGCTAAGCGAATTGACTTTGTGTAACGACTTTTTTGTTTATATTTATTATTCATTGATATAAGAAACAATAAGAACCGACAAGGATTTATAACGGAGGATAAGATAACATCTGTACTAGATTGGACGGTATCACGGCCTGGGGGTCCTTTGTCCCCCCATCTGTTGACGTAACACTCCACCGTATTGTTACCGCCACAATAAAACAGTATTATAAACTTATACAATACTTCAGTGTTTTCTGTGGGCTTGGGAAGTTTACTATCAAATAAGTCAAAGTTTATCTACAGTTGATATCTATCCCGTGGTTTCATTTTCTCTGAAACCTCTGCGCTGCAATACGTCAGGATTCTAGCAAATCCTATAATGAATTCACACTCTGAAACAATCGTAAAGGAGCCAGAATGCTTCAGAAAGTCCAATAGATAAACAGCATATATACAGGGACGACTATACACAGGCGGACTTGTCCACCGCGCAACGGATTAGTTTCTTTTTTAAATAATTAAAGTACCTGCACTAAATATTTCAATCTCGCGTTAAATCTCTAACAAATCACTCGCGCTATACGGTAGTAAGCACGAGGCTTTCTACAATTACAAATGATTGAAATTCCTGAAACTTTCCATTGATCTGGTGAGGATAGGAATGAAGAGAGAGCTTTGTTCCCTTTCAGAATTCGTCGGGTCGTTAGTCGTCTTTTTGTGGGCGACCGAGCGACAAACAGGCGTTTAATGGTTGCATTGTTTCCGTTTCACGTCTGAATACAACAGCAGCTCTGTGCGGAACTATGACTTCACATATCACTGATGGCTTTGCTGGTCAGTCATGCCTCGAGTAAGTCATGCAGACGAACGAAGGGAAGCAACTCGTACTAAACTATCGAAGTTTACAGTATTTTTAGGATGATTTACTTCAATATCCTTGGACTGGACATTTTAGAAATGGTTTGCATTAGACAAAAGATGGGATAATGAAGTTAAAATGGAGCTTTTGCACATTCACGTTTATGAAAAAATTGAAAATCATTCTTTTTACACGTACTTAATTATACGATGTCTAAATAATGAAAACACTATTATGAAGGAGAAAGGTCAATGAAACAAAGGTTGACTAGAGAGATAAATATAAATGTTTGGTGGGACATTTATAATTTTCCAAATTTATTAAATTGATTTTCACAAAATACAGAAAACAACAGTGATACATGGCCTTTATTTGACATAGAACTTACAGCAAGGAGCTGGCGGGTACCAACGCCATACACACTCCCCAACCTCATACTTCAGGTATCATCGCCATACACACTCCCCAACCTCATACTTCAGGTATCATCGCCATACACACTCCCCAACATCATACTTCAGGTATCAACGCCATACACACTCCCCAACCTCATACTTCAGGTATCAACGCCATACACACTCCCCAACCTCATACTTCAGGTATCAACGCCATACACACTCCCCAACCTCATACTTCAGGTACCAACGCCATACACACTCCCCTACCTTAAACTTCAGGTACCAACGCCATACACACTCCCCAACCTCCTCATACTTCAGGTATCATCGCCATACACACTCCCCAACATCATACTTCAGGTATCAACGCCATACACACTCCCCAACCTCATACTTCAGGTATCAACGCCATACACACTCCCCAACCTCATACTTCAGGTATCATCGCCATACACACTCCCCAACCTCATACTTCAGGTATCATCGCCATACACACTCCCCAACATCATACTTCAGGTATCAACGCCATACACACTCCCCAACCTCATACTTCAGGTATCAACGCCATACACACTCCCCAACCTCATACTTCAGGTATCATCGCCATACACACTCCCCAACATCATACTTCAGGTATCAACGCCATACACACTCCCCAACCTCATACTTCAGGTATCAACGCCATACACACTCCCCAACCTCATACTTCAGGTATCATCGCCATACACACTCCCCAACATCATACTTCAGGTATCAACGCCATACACACTCCCCAACCTCATACTTCAGGTATCAACGCCATACACACTCCCCAACCTCATACTTCAGGTACCAACGCCATACACACTCCCCTACCTTAAACTTCAGGTACCAACGCCATACACACTCCCCAACCTCCTCATACTTCAGGTATCATCGCCATACACACTCCCCAACATCATACTTCAGGTATCAACGCCATACACACTCCCCAACCTCATACTTCAGGTATCAACGCCATACACACTCCCCAACCTCATACTTCAGGTACCAACGCCATACACACTCCCCTACCTTAAACTTCAGGTACCAACGCCATACACACTCCCCAACCTCCTCATACTTCAGGTATCATCGCCATACACACTCCCCAACATCATACTTCAGGTATCAACGCCATACACACTCCCCAACCTCATACTTCAGGTATCAACGCCATACACACTCCCCAACCTCATACTTCAGGTACCAACGCCATACACACTCCCCTACCTTAAACTTCAGGTACCAACGCCATACACACTCCCCAACCTCCTCATACTTCAGGTAAACTTCAGGTACCAACGCCATACACACTCCCCAACCGCATACTTCAGGTACCAACAACATACACACTCCCCAGCCTCATACTTCAGGTATCATCGCCATACACACTCCCCAACCTCATACTTAAGGTACCAACACCATACACACTCCCCAACCTCATACTTCAGGTACCAACGCCATACACACTCCCCAACCTCATACTTCAGGTACCAACGCCATACACACTCCCCAACCTTAAACTTCAGGTACCAACGCCATACACACTCCCCAACCTCATACTTCAGGTACCAACACAATACACACTCCCCAACCTCATACTTTAGGTACCAACGCCATACACACTCCCCAACCTCATACTTCAGGTATCAACGCCATACACACTCCCCAACCTCATACCTCTGGTACCAACGCAATACACACTCCCCAACCTCATCCTTCAGGTTTCAACGCCATACAAATTCCCCAACCTCATTCTTAAGGTATAAACGCCATTCACACTCCCCAACCTTATACTTCAGGTACAATGCCATACACACTCCCCAACCTCATATTTCAGGTACCAACGCCATACACACTCCCCAACCTCCTCATACTTCAGGTACCAACGCCATACACACTCCCCAACTTCTTACTTCAGAGGTTTTAATCCCTGATCATAATAATTCTTCTGGCGGTGTGCGGCCACCTCTTATTTTTTGTGAAACAAATTCGAACGAATCATGCATACAATCCTTTAACCATTTCACATATTGGTTTGGGCATACTGGATCCCCACTACGGATAATCCCATTATTATGTATATGGGACAAGTTGTCTCCCTTCCTAACATCACTAAGTTGGGGCTACAGCCCGTACTGGGTTGTGCCGTTGTCCTGTACGCCATAAGAACGTAGGGAAGGTGCTCATCCCAGTCGTCATACTGATGATTTACAAATGTAGACAGCATTTGGATCAGAGTCCGGTTAAACCGTTCCACCAACCCGTCAGACTGGTGTCTGTATGGGGCTGTACGGGTTTTTCACAATACCAAGCCTCTTGCTAGGGGCTGAAAACAACTCCCCCTCAGATTCCTCTCCATTATCGCTTTCTTCCATTAGGAACTCGCTAAGTCCAGTGTTGTCTCATGTGTGTCGCTTTCTGCCATTCGACCCTGCCAGTACCCACTCGCTAAGTCCAGTGTCGTCTCATGTGTGTCGCTTTCTGCCATTCGACCCTGCCAGTACCCAACCGGTAAGTCCAATGCTGTCTCATGTTCGTCGCTTTCTGCCATTCGACACTGCCAGTACCCAACCGCTAAGTCCAATGCTGTCTCATGTTTGTCGCTTTCTGCCATTCGACACTGCCAGTACCCAACCGCTAAGTCCAATGATGTCTCATGTTTGTCGCTTTCTGCCATTCGACACTGCCAGTAGCCACTTGCTAAGCCCAATGCTGTCTCGTGTTTGTCGCTTTCTGCCATTCGACACTGCCAGTACCCAACCGCTAAGTCCAATGCTGTCTCATGATTGTCGCTTTCTGCCATTCGACACTGCCAGTACCCACCCGGTAAGTCCAATGATGTCTCATGTTTGTAGCTTTCTGCCATTCGACACTGCCAGTAGCCACTTGCTAAGCCCAACGCTGTCTCGTGTTTGTCGCTTTCTGCCATTCGACACTCCCAGTACCCACTCGATAAGTCGAATGCTGTCTCATGTTTGCGCTTTCCCCCATTCGACACTGCCAGTACCCACTCGCTAAGCCCAATGCTGTCTCATGTTTGTCGCTTTCCGCCATTTGACACTGCCAGTACACACTCGCTAAGTCCAATGCTGTCTCATGTTTGCGCTTTCCGCCATTCGACACTGCCAGTACCCACTCGCTAAGTCCAATGTTGATAACCTCTCGGCCCCTGAGAGAGCATCATCAATCCTAGGGAGTGGGTATGCATCTTTTTTGATGACTGCATTTAACTTTCTATAATCGATACAGAACCGAACACTGCCATCTCTCTTGGTGACCAGCATTACAGGTGCAGCCTGAGGTCTAATACTTGGTTCTAACACACCTTGTTTAAGCATGGCGCCAAATTCCCTTTCTATCACCTCTTTCTGTGAGGGCGATACCCTCCGGGTGGCATTTTAATAGGAGCAGCATTCTGCGTATCTATAGTGTTCTGTAACATCTGTCTAACTTTCCATCAGGTCCTGCAAATATATCCTGATATTCTAACAACAGATCGCCCAACTTCCCGTTTTCTTTATCAAGAACCTGTACTAGATACGGAGGGAATTTTGAAGTAGGTGTTTTCTGCCTTATGTCCACCTCATGAACATTCTTTATAGATTGTACTTCGCCAATGCAGGTTTTACCTTGGATTTTTATATCTGATTGGGTAAGATTTAGAACAGATAATGTGAATTTCTTTCCTTTCTGAGGAGAGATACATTGATAGTGTCTTGGCTAACAGTAAACCCTTATTGTTCAACAACTGAGCTGGTTCAACTTAACCCAGATCACCCTCTACATCCATGTACCCAGATCACCCTCTATATCCATGTACCCAGATCACCCTCTTTATCCATGTACCCAGACAAATAGCATTCTTTGGGATAGAAATGGTTTCAGACATTCTAATGCGTGCACATTGTGGACCAACGTTTGACCCTGCACTCAACTGCACTAAACTTAAGGTATACTTACCAAAATGTAATTCCCTTTCATGCCTAGTAAGGAAATCAATACCAAGTATCCCTTGAATACCTTCAAGTTTGGTCACTATGGTAATCTGTGTGAACTTCATGCTACCAATCTTAAACTTTAACTATGCCTTCCCAAAACCCCGAAGGTTATTAACCGAGGCTGTTGCTAATTGTATGTTAGAACTCAACAAGAATGGTTTTATATCTCCCAACATTCTCTGATACATTACAAAACCTGCTATGGTGTCAGAGGAGCTCGAGTCTGTTAGACATTTACTCTTAGTATTACCTATACCGCCATAGACTCGGCTAAACCATATTCAGTACAACTGTAGGCCCTACTTTCTAATTAATCTCTTCATATTCAGGGCCTGACACTCTGGGCCTGAGTTCAGCCCGATCTAATTTCCCTGGTTCGGATTCCTTGCATTGTTTAACACAGATGACCCATTTCCTCACATCAATAACACTTTTTCTGGTCAAGTGGCATTTTGTTAAAGTTTTTATTGTGACTTCTGGGACGGGACCACAGTTTCTGATTAAGCTGCTCTAATTGTTCCAATACAAGAGTTCCTAACTATTTATCAATAGTGTTACTAGCTGGTTTCACGCTATAACTTGTCATAGCATTCAGCTAGGCAGGGGCCTCAGGGTTCAATTCCTGTGGTTTCTGTCCCTGTTTGATATGGGATATGGTAGTGCTATGTAAACTACCCATGTGTTCCCTTCCAATACCAGGTTCTACATGACAGACTGCTTTACATGTGTTCCCTCCCAATACCAGGGTCTACATGACAGACTGCTTTACATGTGTTCCCTCCCAATACCAGGTTCTACATGACAGACAGCTTTACATGTGTTCCCTTCCAATACCAAGTTCGACATGACAGACTGCTTTACATGTGTTCCCGTCCAATACCAGGTTCCACATGACAGACTGCTTTACATGTGTTCCCTCCCAATACCAGGTTCTACATGATAGACTGCTTTACATGTGTTCCCTCCCAATACCAGGTTCTACATGATAGACTGCTTTACATGTGTTCCCTCCCAATACCAGGGTCTACATGACAGACTGCTTTACATGTGTTCCCTCCCAATACCAGGTTCTACATGACAGACAGCTTTACATGTGTTCCCTCCCAATACCAGGTTCTACGTGACAGACAGCTTTACATGTGTTCCCTCCCAATACCAGGTTCTACATGACAGACAGCTTTACATGTGTTCCCTCCCAATACCAGGTTCTACATGACAGACAGCTTTACATGTGTTCCCTCCCAATACCAGGTTCTACATGACAGACAGCTTTACATGTGTTCCCTCCCAATACCAGGTTCTACATGACAGACAGCTTTACATGTGTTCCCTTCCAATACCAAGTTCGACATGACAGACTGCTTTACATGTGTTCCCTCCCAATACCAGGTTCTACGTGACAGACAGCTTTACATGTGTTCCCTCCCAATACCAGGTTCTACATGACAGACAGCTTTACATGTGTTCCCTCCCAATACCAGGTTCTACGTGACAGACAGCTTTACATGTGTTCCCTCCCAATACCAGGTTCGACATGACAGACTGCTTTACATGTGTCAAAGTTTGAAACAACTGTGTTTTGAATGTCCAACATTTTTGGCATATGCGTGCTAGTTCTAAATTCTTCTGTCTTAACAACAAATGCTGTGTCCTGCGCCCATGTGTCAGTGTTTACAAACAGTTGATATATGCCGTATCGATCGGGGCCAGCGAGGTCACCTCGTGCGAGTAGTCATCGCCCACGGCACGTGCATCGCGTGAGTCACTGTCGTCAAATAATATGAGGTAAGAACATCTACCTGTATAACCTATAAAAGGATTTGTAGAGTGCAGCTGAGGTGTGGGAAGATGTTGTGACCCAGCAGTAGTAGTCTCGTTCAACCAGACTCTTGATTGTTGTCTGCGCAATATACGCCGAACACATGGGGTAGATAAGTGCTCGTTACAGTCGAAACTGTGCACGTAGATGTCGGGGCCCCATGTCGGAATAGGTAGCCTCGGTCCTACAGACATACCAGGACTAACAGATTACCTGCACGGCACCATTTTGTAATAAGACTGTACTCTAAATGTTATGTGTCTAGTCAACCCAGGTTCGAATTGAGTTAGTTCGCCCGAGGTTCCGTCAAGTTTAAATGAATGAAATAAACTACTAAACAAAAGACATACAGTACAGAGTAGATACTTGTATTGCACCCGCAGATGCTGCTTGAATAATACAAAACATAGGTCCTACCGCTGGCTGAGTTACCGTATCCTAACCCTACATAACTCTGAAGTATCCGTACTTTGCCAAAGACCTGTGGCCACTTGTATAAAACATCTCAAAGTTGAGGTAAATTTCAAGCAATGTATTGTCTATGGGAAATTTTAGGCTTGAGGAAATCTCAAGAGTTGAGATGTTTTATACAAGTGGGGCCTGGTCCCCTTACCCCACAGACAGAAGAGGTAGAGAGAGAAGTGATCCTACCAGCAGGTCAGTGCTATCATAGACTGCTGAAACATCCTAAATCCCCGACTGTTTTACCCAAAGTTACAATAGAAATCTGATAGCCAATCCAAAACCGTGTTACGTAACGGCGGAAGTAAATTTACTAAACGAAAGG